GTTATTTTGTGGCGATATTTCGTAGATATAAACTGTTTAAATCATATAATTTAAAAATTAATTAATTTAAAATTCTTTTCTGTTAGGAATGTTTAATATATTTGGCAACACTATAGGGACAAGTCATGCATATTGCGCAAGCTTCTAGACACACTATTTTGCGATGTCAGGCGCAGAGACGCGTTTTTATGCACAGTAGGTTTCAATTTCTGCTTAAATGTTATGTTTATATTGGTCTTCTATATTATTTCTGTGATTCTATCATAATTTGTTTTATCCGCAGAGTAATTAGAAAAGTAACTATAAAAGTAATTGATAATTCCTTTTTTCATGTAATTGTAATTAAATCAATATAATTCCTATTTTTACATGTACTTTGTAATTAATTTTTTTTTGAGAAAGTACTTTGTAATTGTAATTATTTTTAAAGTACATGTACTTATCTAGCTCTGTTACATACAGGGTATTCCATTAAAAAAAAATTGAGAAAATCGTATCTTCGCATTTTGATGAATGGCTTATGCATAAGTGCTGTAAAGATGCATGTAATGAAACCGTTTTTCTACTTTTGATATATTAAGTGACAATTATTCTAATCGCAGCAAGTGTCAAAACGAACTACTTTACGCATCCAGTTGTATAATATTGAACATTATAAAACTAGTTTCGAAAAATTCATTGTCACTAGTAAACTTACAACCTAGTAATAATGTTATTTTGGTCCTTATTTTCCATTTTAAATCAGCAGATAATAATTAAAATACAATAGACGACAAAATAACCCACTTTCTTGAAATCTAAATAACTTTAACAAGCAATATAAATACACAACAAGTCTTTGAGAATAAATGAATAGGATTTTATATTTGTCAATAAAAAAATGAAGTTAATCATATGCAACTAACAATACAAGAAAGTAATAATATTGGTTGCCTAGATGTCAGAATTTTTTTACCAAATCACAATTTTATAAATATTCTAGTCAAAATTTGAAAAAATATTGTATGTAATACGTTACGAAATGCGGAACCTGGCTCTGCTCCTCCCGCAAATAATTACTAGTTACATAAAATATGGCCTTTTATAACTGGTTTCATAAATAGCCATTTTAAAACATTGTTTCTTTTATATTGATTTTTAATTTAGTGGAAAACCTTAAAAACTATGTAACGAAACGGTTTTTGTATTACTTGTATTTCTGACATACCCTGTGTAATATTTTAAAAAAATATTTCGTGATTAATACAACAGAAAAGCAATCAAAAGTCATATTAATACATGAAAATGCACCTTATTTCAGAAACTGATATTCGTAATTTCTTCGAGTCCCCTGTATAATTTATTTAGCAAAGTTCAGGTAAGTGGTGCTATAGTATAACAACGAAACATTTATTTAAAAAAATTCAACAACTATCCTTCGAAGTACTCTCCATTCTGTTGAATACACTTATTCTATCGCTTTATCCACTTATAAACTTCTGAGGAACCATTTTTTGATAGTATGTTTAGTATACCCATCACAGCGTTGTTGAGCTCTAAATCCGACTCAAATCTTCTACCTCTCAATTCTTTTTTGACTTCAGGAAACAAATGGAAGTCACATGGAGCAAGGTCAGGAGAGTAGGGGGGATGAACCATAATTTTAACCCCTAATTCTTCAATTGTTCGTTGACAAATCATTGATCTATGAGCCGGAGCATTGTCGTGATGCAGCGTCCAGCCAAAGTCCTGATGAAGCGGCCTTTTTTTCCTTAATTTTGCCTTTAAGGGTCCTCGAAGTACATTAGAATAGTACTCCCCTGTTACTGTATGTCCTCTAGGTACAATGTGATCGTAAATAACAACAAATTTATCAAAAAAATCAGGTGCATCACTTTACCAGCGCTTTTAGCAGTTTTGGCCTTCTGCGGTCTTGGGCTGCCTTTATGCTTCCATTGCATACTTTGAGACTTCAATTCAGGATCGTAATGATAAAACCAACTTTCGTCACATGTAACCACATTATTTAAAAACTGTGGGTTACGTTGCAATTGCCTTTTCCACTGCTGACAAATTGTCACTCGATTCGCTTTTTGTTCATCGGTCATCACTTTTGGAATCCATCTTGCCGCGATCTTCCGGTACTCTAAATCTTCATGAGTAATTTTTTGAGTGGTACCGTAAGACAAATTAACATTGTCAGAAATTCGTTTTATGCCAATCCGGCGATCATTTTGTATCAAGTCGTTAATTTCTGCAATTTTTGTGTCATTTCTCGCAGTTTGTGGTCGACCGGGACGAGGTTCATCTTCAACTGATTCACAACCGTCTTTAAACTTTTTATGCCACTCAAACACTCTACATCGTGATAAACTATTATCTAGATATGCACCTTTAATCATTTCAAAAGTTTCAGTTGGTGTTTTACCCAATCGAACACAAAATTTTATCGCGTATCTTTGCTCCACTTTCATTTTTCGATGGGTACGCAAAACACTGACAATTCAATAATTAATTTGTAACAAATGTCAAAAGTCAAATCAAAGCCTACTTGCGGGGTAGTACATTAAATATAAGGCTTTCATGTCTCATTTTTTGGGTTATAAAATGTTACCTCTGAAAGAAGTTATAGCACCAGTCTCGTTATATACTGATATATCCTCGAGTATGATAATAAATGACATAAGTTTCATGAAAAAAACATGAAGTACTTAAAAGTGGTATAGATATATTATGAAAATATTAATTATGTACTCCTTACTTTTGAGTTCTTCTAATGATCTAAAAAAATAATATACTAAAATTTGAACATATTCTGACAGTACCCAAAATCAATATAGATAGTGCAGGGTTCTTTAGCATTTTGTGAAAAAAAATTTGAAAGAACATATAATTTATTTTTTGGAGCTCAAATATTTTGAAAATGTGAATTGTATCGGGTGTTGTTGAGTTATTAAAAAAAAAAAAAATGAGAGGTATATATTTTAATTACTCCCTTCATGACCCACCCCGTAAAAATAATGTAACGTACCTAATACTGTATAGTTAACATAAGAACAATTTATTTCGTTATTCAATGTGTAATTTGCATTACCTAATTTAATAATTTCACATAAAATAAAAAATATGTTTCAATTATATTGTTAAAAAGTATTATTTTAGAAGCGATTTCCATTTAGTAAAACGTGACAACACTGTCAGAATTATTCCTTTGTTTAGTGACTCAGACAAACGCGGTTGCGCAGCAATAACGGTTGGTAACGGTACAATATTGAGAATAAACAAGAAGCGATGGCGTTTGTCTGTGTCCACAAAATTATAGTTTACTTTGTGTAGTAACACTGTTGTATTCTCGGTGTAAAATAAATAACAGTTTAACCAAGGATTCACAATTATTTTAACATACATACATAATAAAACACAATAATATTACTATGATTAAATCATTAAGCGGCAACCTCGCATATTGTGTCTATTTCAAATCTGAGTAAAGTACATTTTTACACGCTAAATTAGTGTTGACGTAATTTTGGTTCTACTGACAATTAGAATGACATTATTTTTTTTTGTGTGCCTTTTGTTCGTTTTGTTTAACTAAACTATATTGTTTATAAACTTATATAAATATATTTCTAGAGTAAGTATTAAGGTGTACAAATAAGTTTTATGACACTTCGATTTTGTATCATAACAGCTATTCTAAATTAATTCAAAGGTCCCGCTCACTTATCATAGATGGCGCTTGACATGCAGTATCGAAACGTAAAGGAGTCATAAACATAACCTATAAATTCTGTAAATTAAACATGTGACCGATAAGCTATTTATTAGATACTGCATTCGCTATGAATTCCATCAAGGAAAAAGTGTTAGTAAAGCGTGTGAATCGATATGTTCTGTTCTTGGAGACAACATTGTATCTAAAAGTACATGTGAGTATTGGTATAAGCGATTCAAAGAAGGTGATTTCGACGTTAGTGACCGTGAACGCACCGGGCCTCCTGTAAAGGTGAACGATCAGGAACTGCAAGCGTTGCTGGATGAAAACTCTTGTCAGATGGAGAAATAACTTTCGGAACAGCTTGGAGTAACTCAACAAACTGTTTCTTATCATTTAAAAGCAATGGGTAAGATTCGAAAAGGAACAAAGTGGGTACCACACTTTCTGACTCAAGAAAATAAAAACAGCTGTCTTAACATTTGTGTGAGTCTTCACAACAAGCAACATAGAAATTCTTTCTTGTGGAAAATTGTGACCGGCGATGAAAAGTATATTTATTTTGATAATCCGAAACGCAAATATCATTGGGTTGACCCCGGCGAGCCGACAACATCCACGACAAAGCGCAATGTTCATTGTAACAAAGTCATGCTGTGCATATGTTGGGATATGAATTATGTATTATGAACTTCTCAAACCTGATCAAACAGTTACTGCCGATCGCTATTGTCATCAATTGATGAAAGTGAATCAAGAAATTGAGAAGAAACGTCCATTTTCTGGTAAAGGAAAACGTCCAGTAAAACTGCTCCATGACAACGCGCGGCCTCATGTGGCTAAACCGGTCAAGGATACGTTACTGGCGCTTGGATGGGAAGCTGTACCACACCCGGCGTATTCACCAGACTTAGCCCCATCCGATTATCATTTATTTCGAAAAATGCAGAACGATTTGTCTGACGTGCGATTCAAAACATTTGAAGAAGTGGAAAAATGGCTGAAGGTCATTCAGTTCGATGGAGATTACTTCGATGAATAACTGTGTTTTTATTCTTTTTTAATAAATCTTGAATTTTTTGAAAACTGTCCCACTTATTTGTACACCCAATAGATAACACGTATCAAGTATATAATCATTTACATACTTTTAAACTACTTTTTCTAATCAGCAAACGATATTTAATAAAAACAAAAACAGTAAAAACGAATATATTAAATATTGTTAAAAGTTAGGATAGAATTAGCTGCCAGTAGAACCAAAATTACGTCACACTTTTATGGCGCTTGTATTAATTCTTACCTTATCTATAATATATGATAAATCACGAATGTCAGATTTCGGTTTTGGTAACATCAGAATTTCAGCAAGTTCGTCTATCTTTTTTCTAATGAAAGTCTGCGCTCGTTTTGCAAACAGTTTTAATACATCTTCCTTTGTAAAACCAACCTTCTCCAGACATTCATTATCAGTTAATGTCAAAATATTATAGTAGCCAAATTCACCACAAATCTAAAACCAATAAATATAAAATTTGTGTTATTTTCAACGTATCAATAACATTCAAGGTGTAATACTTATACAGTGCAAATATTTACGCGAACTCGGGCTATAGCTCACCTTGGCGTATGCGCCTTATTGATCTACATTAGCACGCGACTGAAATCTACTATAATTTGAATGTAATTTTTTTTTTTATTTTGCGACGGTTTCCGACGAACATCTCCGACACAAATAGTTTTAACATAGCAGTAGACAATAATTACTAGTATTGCTAAGATTCGGTAAATTTTGGTATGGTTGGTTTTTTTAATACCTATAAAGCTGTCACTTTATTTACAAATAAACTGAATAGATTGAATTATCTGAAATACGTAGTAGAGTAAATTAAATTGACTTCCTACAATATCACTGCGTTCTAATATCGTTAATTTATAAACCCCACCAAAACAATCTAGTAATCTTTTCAAGGAAAATAACTCAAATCTTAAATTAGACGGGATAGATATAGAATGGAAAAGCAAGTATTAACTCTGGACAACAAACTTCTCTGGAACATACAAGAGAAGGGAATATTAAGCCACACAATTCCTAATGGTGTAAAAGGTGCTAATTAGACAACGCTGGTTAAGTTTCTAGTAAAACTAAACTAAATGAGAGTCGGACTAACATGTAAATACTTGCAATGAAACGGCATGCGCGCCCTACCGAGTCAGTCATTCAATAAAATAAATGCTATTTAATGAAATGAGGAGAAACATGAAAACAGAACATCTCTAAGGAAAAACCCTACTCAGTAAAAGTACTCCAGTACGTTATCTCAAAAAAAAAAACTAATACGGTTGAACTACAAAGTCCCGAAAATAAAAGTAACTAATAATTCCAATTTATAGCAAGGGTGGTGTTGAATGCTATGTATTTCGTAGGTTCGGAGAGCCCTTTTTATTTTTGGAAAGTATTAAAACCGTTAAAACGTAGTGGACGAAAATTACATTTGACAAACAAAAGAAGTTAAATCATTGAATATAAAAGGCAAAAACACAAAATATGGTAGTCATTGCTTTTTCGGCAAGCATCGACTTGAGCCTTAGAAACCGCGGAAAAACTGCTCACTGTCATCGGTCTCTTTCGATCCACATTCTTTGATTTTCTCTTACTATACGGAGAATGGTCACACTGCGCAGCTTTCTGAGTGCCTTTTAAAAGGAGATAGAAAACTCCGGCATTTTGATGCCTTATTACATGTTGCCTACATCTTGGTGCAATAGTTTTAATAGGTGCGTTTTAATCATCCGCTTCTGCTTCGGAATTATCGGTTTTCTTGTTTTAATCTGACAGGTTAAAACGACTAAACCGACAATTCCGGAAGCAGAAGCGGATGATTAAAACGCACCTGATATTTTGCTTGCTGCTGTCAGTGTCAGTGAATATTATTTTTGAAGTCACAGTTTATTGCTAAAGAATCAGTTAGCTCACTCGGACCAGTTGAAAGTTCCAAAATAACATCCACTCCAGGGATACAAATTCAGGATACGCAGAAGACTGCTGTTTTATTGTAGGCGGTTGTCATATATTGTATTATCCGAGTTGCACAGTGTATAAACTGAAACATTGAGATCAAAAGTGCCGACTCAGAGTGAGCGATCTGATTCTTTAGCTGTAAACTGTGTCACAGGGTTCAAAATGGCCGCGCCCTATGTTGGGCGTGTCGGACCTCTCTCTTGCCTCGTATAGTAATCAAAGTATGTGGCTTTCGCAATATCGATCGGGTAGGAATTAGGAATGATATCCAAGGGTAGGCAACTTTATATAAATACGTGTATATCGGATTGTCGTAGTGGTAGGGTGTTACAAATTTAAATAAAATATAAACCAACTGTTATTTCCAACGTTCAGCAGAAAAAATCTTGTCGGTGTTTAGAGCTTTTTGTCTCAAGAACTTGTAAAATACAAATAGCTATTGAAATTTGAAGATCTCTATTACTAGTCAAAAAATAAAAATGGTTTTATTACTTACATAATGTCCGTTAAGAACGCAGGAATTAATTGGTTTTTCTGATAAATCAATTTTGACAGATACAATAATGTTAATGTTGAAAGTTTCTGGGACACATTGAAGAAGTGACGAAAAACGACTAAAACAAATTAACAAATCATTACAAAAAAATCCGAAATATGGGAATAAATTTCTACAGGAGTTTCATTTTTATCAGTACCTTTGTAGGTTATAAGCTGGTAGGATTATATTTAGCCCAGAACAACGCGGTTTCTTGAACCTATTGTTTTTCTGAATAGTCCTGTTTTCTACATAATAAATTGTATGGTCCATTCTAGCAATTTTTATCCATATCAAGGTCACGCGTTGAGAATCGCCTCGGAAAAACTATTTTCTGGAGTAGAAATTCATGGAAATTTATGAAAATTTATAAAAATTCATGAAAATTAATGGAAATTCATAGAAATTTATAAAAATTAAGGGAAATCTATAGAAAGTCATAGAAACTAAGAAATTCATAGAAATTTATAGAAATTCACAGAAATTTACAGAAATTCATAGAAATTCATAGAAATTCATAGAAATTCATAGAAATTCATAGAAATTCATAGAAATTCATAGAAATTCATAGAAATTCATAGAAATTCATAGAAATTCATAGAAATTCATAGAAATTCATAGAAATTCATAGAAATTCATAGAAATTCATAGACATTCATAGAAATTCATAGTGCCATCTTGCGGTGGATTTTGGAAGAAGTGTGCCTATGGGATTCTCATCGCGTAACCTATATATGGACAAAAATTGCCAGAATGGACCTTATAATTTCTTATGGAGGTTTACATGGAAAAATAGCCGACATTGAATCCCTTTACTACAGGTTTAAAGGTTCCTAAATTACAAAAAAGAACCGTTTTTATTAGGCATTGAGTTAAAATTGAAGAAAGTTTATTTTGAGTAAACCACTCTAAAATAATTATTGGAATGTGAAATTTTTGAGAGTGAATCCAAATAAACTTTTCTTTTTAACTATATTTAACAGTATATTTTCGGAAATGGGTTGAAATCTCATGTAGGAGGTTGTTCCCTTAGCTCAGATACATTATACTCCTGTCCTCAGCGCGCAGAAAGGGATGTCAAAAAAAAATTAATATACTAAACAAATCAATTAAATGGTTGTTTCGAGTTGTTCCTAAATTGTAAATTTAAGTTTGGGTCATAGCGTTGCTTTAACCGCCATCTTGTAAAATTGTATCGTATTAATAGCCCAATTCATCTTTAAATTTATCAACGTCTAAAGCCTTAAGGATAGAAACATAATTATAATGAATGTATGTGCAATACAAATTTGTACATTAAGCAAGGATAGCACTGAGCCAATGTATTATTCATTTACCTGTTATGTATCAAAATAATTTTCACACCATACTTCCTACTTTCAAAGCTATATACGGATTCAGCTTAAGTTTTTCTTAGGCATTGCCGAGTAATAGGAGGAACTGCGTGTCAGAGTTGGCGGATGAGATCGATCGGCGTCATGGGATTGCCAACACCTCTTCTTCTGCTTTCTCTCATTTATATCGCTTCATATGAATATTCTTCGTTGTGTTGCTCCTTATAGTTTTGCACTATACCCAAGAAAAGTTTAAACCGAATATGCATATTGTAAACTACTCACTATATAAAAAAAAATAAATTTGTGCTTCACTTTAATAAATACAGTGAAAACTGTAGATTGTGAACTTTGTAGAGCAATAACTTTCAAATGGATTTGACAAAAAAATGTTTCTAACAAAAGTGATAAAACATTTTATAAAAAAACAGCATACCAATCTTCTGACTCACTCTGACTTTTGACTAATTAAACCAAGATTATTTTAAGTAAAAATTAAAATTAATTTTTATTAATTTGTATTTCACCGAGTAACTAATAATAGTACAATACCCATACACCACGTGATCAAGTAAAACAAGAAATCTAAAGAAAATGGCTATTATTAGTGACTTTTAAGAAAATTTAAATGTCAGTTCTGTAAAATACGTCAGTGTTACTGCTGTTAACTTATTAATGTTACTTTGAGCCAACTGATAACATCAATTTGGGCACGTGATATACGGATACTGTTGACGGCTCAATATCTGTAATCAAAGTACTTTGTAAAGAAATGCGGCATTTGTAAAAAATGGCTAATTTGTAACTTCAACACTTTGTATATAAAAAAGTACCCTTAGGATAGAATTGGGCTTGTGGACGATTTTGTTTCGAAAATCGGGAACAACATCAAAAATTTATAAAATTTAATTAATATCAATTTGTCTAGAAAATTGGTTAATAAAATACCTGAGGACTGGACTACTACTAACAAATTTAAATTACAATAATAAAACTCAGATAAATTTTTGTGAATCATATAAAAACATACCCAAGTAGCATTTTGGCAACAATAACCACATAATACACCAAAGTGGTGCAGAAATTAGTGATTTATGAAACGATGCTCTCTCTAAACCACCTGATGTCGTCTTAAAGTTGTTACAACATTTACCCAACCGACTACAAGTAGTAAATATTTTGGGAATGGCAAAAGCGTTCTAAAAACGTTTAAATGACTCTTTAGTTTTATTAAACGTTTTCCCGACGGAGAGCCGACCTTTAAGATTTAATTAACTTTCAGTTAAATTAAAAACGTTTTTGGGAGTCATCTTTGTAATTAATCAATTTTAAATTTTTACTATGCCATCGATATTTAGATGAATATTTCCCTCGCCTGACAACTTTGACATTTACGTTATCGTTAGAACCAATCAGAACCAAATAAATCGACTATTTTCACTGACTATCTCATATCGTCTATTATTTATTTATTTATTTACAATATCCTACAGGGCTTCCCCCATTTACATAATAAGGCGTGGACAAATAAGATAAATAATCAAACGTTCAGAGACAGCAAAGTGCATCCTGAAAAAAAAAAACTTTACTAAAAGAAACAAATGCACCCATCTGACTCAATTTTAAATAATATAAATTAACAAACTAATATAAACAAAAACAAAAAACTAACAAATTTTATAAAGAAAAATTAGATACAATAAAATCATACAACAGAGGAAATTAAGCAATAATTGATACATAAATAAATAAAAGTTACTAATTTGACATGAACACTCTTTTAATAGATGATACAGAACAGTTAAAAATATCTAAATTTACTTCAATATTTGAGTAATTTACAATCATTTGATACAAATGAGATGCCTTGTATGTGTTGGTTCTATGAGAGTGTTTGTGAAATGTATAAGTTAGGGTGACCAGACGTCAGGCTAAAGCCGGACATGTCCGGCTTTTTCGCTTAAATGAAAACGTCAGGCCGGCTTTTGTCGTGTCCGGCTTTTTGTCGTGTCCGGCTTTTCATCAATCGAAAATTCTAAATAACTAGAAACGCACATTATCATTATTCCTGGTTCCGACTTTCTCAAGCTGGCAAGTGCGCAGTGGAACAAAGAAAGAAACCGTTTATCTATCTATCTATCGAATCAATAAAAAGCCTCATAATGTTAAAATTTAATTTAAAAACGTCTTGTGAGGAATATTATAATTATTTGATGGACAATCCCAATATTTTAAAATAAATTGGTTCTCCTGAAAAGTATAAGTAGTTTTTACCTAAGAAGAAATTGTTACATTTTTTTATATAAATATATTTGTTAAATGTCAGGTTTTTTTTATTAAAAATCAGGCTTTTTTGTCCTGGTTGTCCTACTTTTCTGAAAATAAATCTGGTCACCCTATATAAGTGTTTCGAGAATTAACCCTCGGAACATAAAAAATTTAACATTCCAGAGATTAAAATGCTATATACCTTGTTTTGTATTATTTTAAATAGAAATATTTCAGTATGCATCGATCGTCTGTTGTAAAGGCTACATGATTTAAAACGTTCTAAATAAAAAAATTGAGGAATTCCTCTTACTGGGTAAATAACATCAATCCTAAAACACGCAGATTTGAAGAATCTTCGTTGTACACGTTCTAATAGTGAAATGTGATTTAAATATATTGAACTCCAAATTATACAAGCATATTCCAATTTTGACATGACTAGCGAAGAATAAAGCATATTCATGGTAGAAAAATTACCAAATGATCTCATATTCCGTACAATAAATCCCAAGATTCGATACGCAGAAGCGGTCGTCTTTTCAATGTGAGAAATAAAACTAAGTTTACTATCAAAATATACTCCAAGATCTTTAATTAAGTCGGGTCTGACTAATGTAGTATTTTGTAATGAGTAGTTATATATTGTTACGGAGTCTTTCCGGCAAAACGACATAACATTAAACTTTTTTGCATTTAAAGGTAATTTATTTACAATGTACCATTTACTTAAGCGATCGATATTGTGTTGTAATTTTTGACAGTCGGTTATGTTTTTAATTTCTGAAAATAATTTGAGATCATCGGCATAGGGTGCAGTACGTCAAGATCATATACAATATCATTAATAAAAAGTACAAATAACAATGGTCCTAAATCGGAGCCTTGAGGAACGCCGCAAGTTTGAATTGTACATAGAGATAGCCATTACACAAATACGACTGAAAGAGATTTAATAAAGAATTATTAACAGCTAATGCAGATAGCTTGGATAGTAAAATCGTGTGGTCGATTTTATCAAATGCTTTGGAGAAGGAAGTCTGTGTAGACAACATCTACTTGACTTCTCCTATCAATAGCTTCAGATATAAATTGAGTTATACAAAATAAGTTTTGTCACTGTAGAACGACCAGAAATAAAGCCATGTTGAGATGGAGTTATAATTTCGAGGCATTGAAACGAAAAATAATTATACTACTATTTCAAACACTTTCGAGAAGTTATTCAAGATTGTAACGGGACTCTTTTATACTGGAAGATGGCTTACTAAAGCGAGTACTTGAAAATGATGATGGTTCCGAGAACAGAAGACAGTTGGTCATTCCAAGAAGTAGAGTATCCGAGGTACTTCGTCAGTTACACGACAGTCCATCAGGGGGACATCTCGGTGTTAGGAAAACCCTTCAGAGAGTTCGGGAAAGGTTTTATTGGATGAACAGTTCCGATGATGTAAAGGACTGGTGTAAGAAATGTGCCACCTGTGCTATGAGTAATGGACCTCAGCGGAAAAAGAAGGCTCCCATGAAGCAATGCAACATTGGTAGCCCATTTGAGAGGATCGCATTAGAAGAAGTAAACCAGCTCCAAGAAACACCTGATCTTGTGTTTGAAGAATTTATGGGTGCATATGGACGTACCGGAAAAGCAAGACATGGTGTTACAACCGAGCAACAACAAGACCTGTTCACGGTTCCAAAAGATTACTCGCTGGTCCATGGCACTTCCGCCAACATCTACGACGCTCGAGGTCTGGCATCTGTATTCCGGAAGAAGTTTGGTCGACTGCCAGAACTTCAAGATCAGTTACCAGCCCCTGGAAAATCACTTAAACTTCAAGATGGATCGCGTTATCTTTTCTATTTGGTACTGGAATCCAATGTAAAGAAACTAGCCATGACGAAAATAGAAGGAAATCAGCTGAATTGGAGGCTCATTAGAAACATGGTGGAAGTAATCTTTCAAGATACCGGAGTCCAAATACTGGTCTGCAGCCAATCACGCCCAGTGTCCAGGTTACAGCGAAGACAGTCCCTTGTTACTTCCACGCAACTGGAAATTGTAAAAGAGAATCCAGTTGCAGATACAATCATTCAGTTTTGGTTCCAGGAAGAACTATTTCTTAAGGAGGGGACAATATCATGAAAATTCCTAAGCCGTCTCTCTCTAAACTCTAAGCGAGCGACCTTGGAAGTCCGCCACTCGATTCATGATCGAAGCAACGCTGACATGTGAAGACAGTCGGACCGCGTCTCGAATATACAAGAAACGACGGAATCTCTAGGTATGCCGCTGACGCTTCGAGAAACTGCCGTTGAGTCATAGAGATGAAATTTTCGAGAGCGTCTACTAGAAACTACGAGCACAGAATTGGCTTGGTATAAATAGCCGACTTATCGGCGCACAGTTTAGTTTAGTATGGAACATTGTAATGAAAAGTTCAAGTGTAATAACTAAATTAGAATTGATAGTTAGTGCCTAAGTATTATATAAATTAAATAGTACGTCATAAATAAATTGTAAATAGTGTGTTTTAAATAAATAAACTATAAATAAATTAGACTCTCGTTACAGTATCTTGAGCATAAGAATAAAACGTTTTGATATAACGGTTGGAGTTGTAAGAAAGTTTTCTCTAATTGTCCATTTTGGTAATCAGTAATTATTAAAAAATTTACTATGGAAACTAAACTATCATCGCTACGCGAGAGAGCGCAGGTGTGTAGTTGTTTCTAAGTAAATTTAACAATGTTTAGGAAATGATCAAGTGCTACCTACAATTAAAACTGAAACGTTTTAAAAACCTAAAAATGATTGACCAAATTGGTGCAAAACGTTGTATTAAGTTCGTCCAAGCAAATTATGTTTATTTGCGTATCTTTTTTAAACACGTCGCTGCAACGTTAAATTTCTACTTGGGTATTTATATTTTTTAATTTCGACTAATTAATATAAATAATACATAAAATACTCACTCTTGCAAAAACGAAGTGGCACACGTTTCACTCTTAAATCTCAGAAGTTTATTCTCAAATGGCCAAGAGACATCTATCACTCCATTTGGATGTGTAAAGGCACCCAAGTATCCAAAATACGGAATATTAGTGCTAATATATCTGTTAAAATCTTCCGGACTTCTTGGTGGAGCGTCAACAATTTTTATCACTTCATCATTATGTATTATAAAAGAAGAATGTGTGCGCAGTTTTTCTTCAGTTTCTGAGGTCAGATCTATAGTACTTGTGTCATTACTAATTTCCTCTTTTGAGCATGATTTCTGTTTGATATTGGATTGCATTAACCAATGCCCGCATTTATAGTCTCCTTTTCCTCTCATCTTATTAAAACTTTCACTTGAAATAAGAGTTTGGTTGATATACCTCAAAGTTTCTACATCATCGTCCATATCTTTGTTTATGTAATACGGTCCAATGAAAACTCGATCGCAAAGTTTTCCATCAAAATATATACCAAATAAGACGTGGTCGTATACGTTTTGTAGTTCTTTATTTATTAATGCCACCGTCCCATCATTTTTATTTGCATACCCTGATATAACATGTAAATCTGTGTATCGAATCGAATATTGTGCACTTTTAAAATGAAGAAACGTAAAATCTGAATTCAAATAGATCATCCGCCATTTTAGATAATTATTTATTTTAGGCAATCGTACCGTTAAATGTTGTGTTAAATAATCTCCGATTTTAATAGATTTCAAGTCTTGAGGTGGAAACTTATTTTCCTTGTACAACATTAACGTTCTTTCAATGCCATGCAAGTCTTTGTGATAAAAGATTTCACCTTTTTCTCTCGACTTTTTCTCTTCATCTTCGTATTCGTCTTTAAACATCAATGGAGTAACTTGTTTAGTTTTACTTTGGTGTTGCTCTACGTTTTTAGTGCAAATACCACAAATTTCAAAGTGATCCTTAGTTTCTTTTAAAATAAACGACAAAGAGTCTTCGTGATAATGAGAAGGAAGCTTATCTTTTAAAATCCATACGATTACTTCAGTCATCTGAGTCGTGTCTTTAATATTAACATAATTTTTAGGACATTTTTTATCAACTTTATTGATCAATAACCTAGATGGTTGATCCACCATGCTCCAAATACTGATGGTATTATTATGAAAGCTATCCATTAATGCATGCCAGGGCAATAACCTAGCATAGCCTTCAGCTACGGTTTTGGGTCCCATTTTTTTCAGCAAGTCCATATTTTGTTCATCAACAATAATTTCACCTTCAAACACAGGTCCAATATCGGAACTTTTTCGTATTACTTTTTTCCTTCTTTGAATGGCAGCATCTATGAAAGCTTTATTAGATGCGTGCAAATCGCCATCGTAGCGTGATGACAATGTCTGCTTCCTTTTACTCTTGCCCTGCGTTTGTTTCAACTGTTCTGACATTTGTTCCTGAACTAGCGCCTGTTTAAGTAATTCAGCTTCTGTTGAAGCGTTACCCGGAGTAGTTTGTTGAAGTCTTATTTTAAATAAGTCAGCATCGGTTATATTAAAAATGAAATCGAAATTAAAAACGTCTGAACTATATTTGTAGGACTTAAGATACTTTTTAGCTATTGGTTTCACCCTAGAACATTCGGAATGGACGGTTGGATTTTCATAGTATTCGACAAAATCTTCGCTAAATGTACGTTTCTTGATATTACGCGTAGGACGTTTAGAGGGAGACCAGCTGTCACCAGAATTGGAGCTTGTTTCGGCATCAACCTTGGACGACATAGAACTTGTTTCGCCATCAACCTGGGAACTTGAACTAGAACTTGTTTCGGTTTCAACCTTGTATGGCGTAGAACTTTTTTCTGGAATATATACTGGTTTCTGTTTTTTAAAGATATTTGATTTCTTTGCATCAATAATTTTGTTTATTTGAGAAGAAGTCCTGGCTTCTTTAATTTTCATTTTTTCATTATATTTTGTATAAAGACTATCTTTTTTAGGCATTTTAGGTTTTACCTCCACTTCCTCTTCGCCTCCATAATTGTATTTTTTAGGCGCTTTTGGTCTTAGTGCAAGTTTGTGAGTTGGGGTTATAACTTCATTAGATACATTATTTGAAAGTTTACTCGCCGGTATAGATATAGGTGTCTCTAAAGCTTTGCCCTTACAATAGCAATCATATACATTGTGAGTCAAACAATAAGGAATTATTTGAGATAAATTTATATTTGCTATACTCACATGGCAAATACTAGACAATTTCTCTTCGTCGCAACTAATTTCGGTAGAAGGTACAAAATCTGTAAATTTGGCGGGAATTTTAGCACTTCTTCTAGTTTTAGTTCTACTGCCAATGCCAACAACTATTGTTTTATTACTAGTGTGTATAACTGTTTGAGTAAATTCTCTTTCAACTTTGGCTAAATTCTTCTTAGCTTCGTCTTCAATTCGAGTAACAGCATCTTCAGATAGAACATTAGTACCAGGAGGTAGAGTTAGTCTGTCATATATTAGAGCTTTTTCCTTTGGGCAAGTGCATTCAAACATGCAAGCCACTTTTTGGCAATGATGAGTAGCAATGTATTCGCATTTTAGACTTTTGCATAAACAACCTAATTCACAAAAAGGTTTGTTACATTTCTTTTGCTCAGTCTCTTCTACTTCTACATTTACAACTTTGCAATTTAACCTAAGTAACTCGTATTCTACCTTGGATCGCTTCCTGTGTGGTTTTTTGAATACGCTTACGTTATTTTCAATAACTGGAGATAGCAATTTATCTAATTTTTCTTCAACCTTCATATGAGTCTCATCTTCTTTTATTAATGATGGGGCTAGTTCTTTAATTTCAATGTATCTGATTAAGTCCTCTATTACATCTGCCACTGGGTCTTTAGAACTTTTGATTGTATCAAATTTTTCACCGATTTCGATATTACTCTGCGCAATTAGCGATCTTTTTCGCCGAACTAAAACATTTTCGACCTTATTTTGAAACTGCAAAGGAAATTCAAAAGTTGCTGGTTTCTCTTTAGGTTCAGTTTGAACCATTGATAATGCGAACTCAATTGAATTTACATCTAATTCTCCGCCGATAATAGAAGAAAATCTATGTAAAACATCATCACAAAACCTCTGCCCAACCTTCGGTGTAACTTCTAGTTTTAACTCGGGCAGTTTTAATAAATGGGATTCCCATTTTTCATTTCCAGATACTTGTAGATTCTGTTTTTGGCACAACGGTCCTGGTCGATATCGAACTTTAGAATCCATCTTACGTTTTGGATATAACAGTGACCATTTTTTCTTTTGAATGCTTCTTGGGGTCAAAGTCGGATCTTTAGCTTCTTTAGTACAATCTATTCGAGCTATACATTTATTAGGGCAATAACTATTTACCCAAATTCTGTTATCTTTAAATAAAACATAACCTTTATCTTTGTATTCTATTTCTTTCATTTGTTTTACTTCTTTCTTTATTTCGAGCTTCGGTTTTAATTTATTTTGTTTGAGTTTAATTTTTTCTAATCTTTTCAATTCCTTTTTTCTCTCTCTTTCTAATAGTCTTCTTTTTTGGGCAACAGTTTTCGCTTTTATCACTGTAGTACTTTTGATCTTTTGAGCGGGTGGTTCTTTCACCAGCTTTTTTAAAATTAGTTTCGAAGGTGATGTTTTAGGTTCTGAAAATTTCTGTAAACCATCTTCTGCTCCCAATTTTGGAACTTGATAACTAATGTTCAATCGAGATTCTATTAAAAATTCATCTAAAGTATCACTAACGAAAGGAGACTTTTCTTCGATTTCTGAAGACTGGGAATTTTCGCCAGAGAGGGAGGATATATCCATTTTTTTCTCTTCGTCAATCTTCGTAGGTGTACTTGTGGAAAGTTTCATTTCTGAGGAACTATTACTCTTTTCGAGATTTTTTATTTTTGATTTATTAATTATATTTCTTAATTGATCCAATACCCTGATTTCTTCTGTATCTTGTTCTGATTCTTCTGAATTATCTTCTGTATTGTCTTTTGCGTCTTCTGCAGTATTTGTGTCCATAATTTCGTTGTCTAGTTCATCTAATTCGACTCCACCTTGTACATTTAATATTATCAACCCTAGTTCATTAGTCTGGGTATAAAGTTCATTATCACTTAGACACTTTTCTGGAGACGCCTGGTTAGTTTCATTTGTATTAGAAAAGGTAGGTACTTCTTCACAAATATCTAGTGATTTTTGATTCGAGAAATCTTGACCATCTGAAATTTTAATTTGGCTTTCCTCAGCTTCTAATAGAGACAATTTTTTACTACATTCCATATTATTATCTATCGATTGTGTTGAAGGTATAGCGAGGAAAGTTTTCTTCTTTCGAGTTCGTAAAGAATTTAACTGTAATTTTAAGCTATTTCTAAGTTCATCCAAGGTCTTCGTAGAAGGAATTTCTGAGGAATTAATTTCTTCGTCGCTATCTTCAGAAACTGGCGGGAGTTTTTTCACTATTTTTCCTATTGCCACTGCATCGGACAGTTTATTGGAAGGTTGGGTACTCAGTTCAGACTTTTGAGTGGTTAATAATGTATTAAAATCTAAAGCATCAACAGGAACATATGGAGGTACTTTTAGAAATGAATTTGAAAGCACTGGTTCACTGATGTTTTTGGATACTGATGCTAAATTAGCTGGCAATAAAGACGGTTTGATATTTGTTTGGCTATATGGCTTAATATGTAAACACGGTTTTTTTTCCTTTGATTCTACTTTAGGAAGCAATTTCCTTAGTCTTGAAATCGGTTTGATGAATGGCGGTATTGTTGGTTTCTTAATTGCAGTTGGCAAGAGAAATTTGATATCACTAACCTTCTCGTTATTAATAAAAGTTAGTTTTTCCACCTTTTCATTGATTCTTTCGTTATTTAATGGCGGTATGGTTGGTTTTTTAATTGTAATTGGTGAGAGAAGTTTGATATCACTAGCTTTCTCGTTATTAATGAAAGTTAGTTTTTCCACCTTTTCATTGGTTCTTTCGTTATTTAATGGAGCTATGGTTGGTTTTTTAATTGCAATTGGTGAAAAAAGTTTGATATCACTAGCCTTCTCATTATTAATGAAAGTTAGTTTTTCCGCTTGTTCATTGGTTCTTTCGTTATTTAATGGAGCTATGGTTGGTTTTTTAATTGCAATTGGTGAAAAAAGTTTGATATCACTAGCCTTCTCGTTATTAATGAAAGTTACGTTTTCCACTTGTTCATTGGTTCTTTCGTTATTTAATGGCGGTATAGTTGGTTTCTTGATTGCAGTTTGTAAAAGACGTTTGAGATCACTAGCCTTCTCGTTATTAATGAAAGTTACGTTTTCCACCTTTTCATTGGTCCTTTCGTTAGTTTCCCGACTTTCTTTAACTGTTTTATGTCCACTGTCGATGTTTTTAACATTTGTTTCTTGTTGTGTAGAGGAAATTGTAATGTTTTTATAAGTATCTGATTTTACGACACGCTGTATAGGAAGTTGTTTTACCTTCCTTATTTCAACAAATTTATTTGTAACAATTTTTCTAGAAATCGGTCCATCTGATGGTATAATTTTCTTTTTTAACACGTAAGTGGCTGGTTTTTGAAGCACTGGACTATTACTTGACGTTCCAACATGAACTGGGGCACGCTGACTCGCAATCAACGGGGGTGGCGATAAAGGAAGCCTCTTGATAAGTTTAATGTTACTCGGTAGAGGCCTTTCTGTCAATCCCGAAGATATAGATCTTTTTTCCACAAGTTTATACCGTTTCCTTGGATGTATTTCCACGTATTCAATTTTTTTATTATCTTCATTTTTTTTATTAATTTCTGGTGGTTCCGTTTGTATAGTGATAGTTTCGTATTCATCTGTAAGTGGTTGGTTTCTTATGTCTCCTTTGTCAATATTTATAGTATTATTTTTTATACTATCACTTTTTTCTGCTTCTTCGTCCACTTCTATTACTCTAACTTCTGTAAACTCGGTTTTATCATTTGTAGGAAGAATCAATTTTTCTAATGTTGGTAGTGCATTATCAGGTTTGGGTTTTGGACTATCTGAAGTAGATATATCGTCTATAATTTCGTTTATAATGTCGGTATTTGTTGTATTCACTAGTTCTTCCTCCTCATCGGTATCTGAAAAAGTTCCTTCTAATTGTTTGTCATCAGTTGTACTACTAGATATTAAATCTTTAGTTATATCAGAAGTTTCGCCACATTTTATGTTTACATTGGGAACTATGTTTTTTGAAACATTTTCATTGGTACTGCTAACATTTGAATCTTTGGTTTCATTACTTTCTTTTAACTTGGAAACAATTTCTTGTGCGGTCGAATCTTTACGGATCAATGAATTATATTGGGAAATTGGTTCAGTTAGAAATGCTGACTTATCTTGGGAGGTTGATTCTTCATTAGTCACATCATCAGCGGTGGAATGCTTAATTTTTTGTAATCTTTGCAATAAGTCATCGCATGACCACCCTGTATTCTTAAGAAGTTGTTGTATAGCGTCGTCCGGGTCCATTTTTCTGAAAATAATTATTTTATTTAATACATGACAGAACAATCGCTACCGAAGAGACTTTATAGTTCGTTATATTGAATATTAGTTTTCAACAATATCCCTCGTAATGGGCAAAACACTAAATTAAATGGAAATAGATTAATTTTTTTATTGACAAGTATGACATTTTAATTGTCAGTTTCGTCAAATACGTGAGTGCCATTGTTTTGGGGTACACACTTATAATATTGCGCTGCATTACCGTGACGTCAGTGAGCCAAGCAAAAACATACCATTCTGTCATTGATTTTAACATAATATTTTTAATATATTTGAAGTATATGAAAAAGTACGTAACTAAGTTATTTTTGTTGTAGTTATTGCAGTAACATTCTTCTAGAAAATAATATAAAGTAAATTTCAATTCACACTTAACCTCTATTTTTAATTATTGTTTGGCACACAAATTACTGATACAGCAAGATAATATAGGGCGCCGCCATTTGTAACTAGAAGCAATGCCGGCTCCGATCAATTATTTTATATATTTTTATATTAAATATTATGAAAAATAACAAATCGATAATAATGGGTAAAAAGAGTTTTTTTAAAAAATAAGCCTTAAATAAAATTAAAATAAAATTTAACGAAATAGGGGCACGTACATACATTTTAAAGAGGTACCTACTAATACAAAATAAATCAATATTTATAAAAATGGAAAAATAAACAAAATTTATTGCCATACATAACGATGTACGGAAATGTTAAGAATTATTGCTATATAAAATACACCAAAAATTACAATTTATTTGCAATAGTCATTAATAAATTTAATTGCATTGCTCTTGAAAGATTCAACGATGAACAACTTGTAAAATATTTTTTCCAATTTTGACATCTATTGACATTTTTTGTAATTGCAGATCTACTTTGCGCAACCAGTTGCATAATGTTGAGCACTATAAAAATGGAATTTGGTTAAACTTACAGCCTAGTAATAATGTTGTATTGGCTCTTATTGTCTATTCTAAATCAGAACAAAATAATTAAAACACAATATACGGCAAAATAACCCTTTTTCTTGAAAACTGAATAACTTTTCACATATTATTATGCAACTACAATACAATAAAATAATATTGGTTGCCTAGATGTCAGCAATGTTTTACCAAATAAAATTTTATGAACAATCTAGTCAAAATTAAAAAAAAAATTGTATGTAACAAGTTACGAAATGCAGTTTTATTTAACTCGTTTATGTTGCAGGACATGTTCTGCTCGTCCCGCAAATATTCACTCGTTACATAAAATGAGGCATCTCGTAACTGGTTGTATAAATAGCTATTTTGAAATCAATCGTATTAGCAGGTGCGGTTACTTCATTGGTTCATTTGTGCAGTGAACATCTATATTTTTTGGTACATCATTGTCCTCTGGCTGAGCACGTCTCTGTGGCACAGTATACCTAAGTATTCTGTGGCGCATTATGACGAGTGAGTCTAACACGAGTGAGACGATATGGTGAATGCATATAGCTAAAAAGAGAAGACAACACGCCAACAGATTCTTCAAACTGTCAAGGAACACATTAATTGGCGCGCCGCTCACAAACAAGGTTGCCAAACCAGTGTTGCCAGTCTAGTACAATTCACAATTGTACTAAATGTAGTACATTCTGCGTGTTCACGTGTAAAATATATATATTGTATTCCTTGTTTGGGTTCGTTATCAATAAAGACCCCTTTTTTCCCTTCAATGAATTAGATGTCACTGCAAATAGAATTCGAAAAATCTGATGCATTTAAGGAATCTGGTACATTTTTTAGACAAATCTGGTACATAACAAAAACATATTCTGGCAACACTTTACCGTCATTATGAATCGGTTTTAATAAAATTAAGATTATTTTATTATTTGTGATCATTTAAAAAAATGTGTTTAATTGAGAACTGCAACTTTAATAAATTGGAAGGATGTGTGTCAATTTAACGATTGTTCCCGAAAAACTTCTTTAAGACAAGGTAAATAAAAACTTTTTCAGGATATGTTATTTTATTTACCTATAAGTTTTACGACTGTAATTTGTTTTATATTTTGTTTCAGTGTCTAAGACCATCCAAAGACTACTTCAAAATGGTTTATTTTGTACCCAATTGTAAATACTATGGAGTAAGAAGTAAACAAAAAATTTGTAATTTTTTTCCCACAAAACCCGCTAAAAGGAAAAAATTTATTATTCTGATGAGGTAACTACTTGACATCATTATGGAAATGTACAATAAAAATTTGATAAAGATAAAAAGACAAATGGTTTTTCACTTTAAAAGTCTGAATCGGAAAAATGGATCAACCAGTTAATTTAATATACTCGATAAGAAATTTTACCTAAGAATTGGTATGCACATTTAAATAGTTTACCTATATAAAGTTATGTTTGCCTGTAAGTATTAATCGTGTTACCCTCAAACCTAGATCGTTTGTTGCATACAAACCAGAAATCTTTTATTTTAATGACATTTTTTTGTTGCCTTGTTTGTATAATTTAGTATTTTCAAAAATATTAGATGTTATGGTAATTTGGATCACTGCAGGTATTAAATAAAAATAAGGCTGTTGGTAAATTAGTTTACAGTTGACAATAAAGTATGTCTCGAAAAAAAGCAATAAGTATCAAACATAAATTGTGATTTTGATTAGGCACTTAACAAGTCACATCCCACATATATACATGCTCTGCCTAATTCATCCTATAAGTACATATCAAAACATTAATATACTATCTACAATTAAACAATAATTTGAAAATATAGATGAAGCCGATTTACCTATTTAGACAAAATACTATTATTCTCCTATTTATTAAAACACATTATTTTTTAGTGAACATGGACATCCAAAAGTCTACCATGAGGGTAGGACAGAGCGAGAACAAGAATACTTTGGAATGTGCTGTGAAATACACTTAGAAAGGGTCATATGGAGAATTAAAGAATTGATAAAAGAAGTTGAATATTGTTGTTGACCTTTTTAAATTGTTTATTTTACCTCATACATTTTTTTTTCTACTCTTCATACAGTATTTTATGAAGAGTATTATAGGTTTACTTTGTCTGTCTGTCCGATGTCACGTTTTTTGTCTGCACGATAAGTCAAAAACGAGAAATGATGTCAATTTGAAATTTTTAAGCAAAAATCAAGCTCTATAAGGGGACAAAGCCTATTGATTTTTATCAAATCTGATTAAAAATAGGGGGTTAAGAAGGGTTGAAATTAAAAAAAAATCCTAAATTAAAAACGAAAAGCGATATCAACATGGAATTTTTAGTAAAAATTAAGCTTTATAAGAAGATAAAGCCTATTGATACTGAAAAAAATATGAATATATTGGGGAGTTAAGGGGGGTTAAAATATAAAAAAAAAATCCTAACTGAAAAACAAAGATGATATAAACTTGAAATTTTTAGCAAACATCAATCTCTAAAAGGAGAAGCCCTTTAATTATAAAAAAAATCTGATTAAATATGGGGGATTTAAGGGGGATTGAAATTTAAAAAAAAAATCAAAAATGAAAAGCGATATCAACATGAAATGTTTAGTAAAAATCAAGCTCTATAAGAAGTTGAGGCCTATTGATTGTGAAAAGAATCTGTTTGAAAATGGGGGTCAAGGGGCTCTGTTAAACTGCGAAGAGTATCATTTAGAATGCCAGGCATTATATATCTTTATTCTAGTTTGTGTCTTTGTTTGTGTTTGTGTCTTTGTGACATCTTTGACAAATTGTGAAAATGATTAAACTTACAATAAAAACTAAAAAATGGTAGGTAAAGTTTCATATTAAATTTTTTACACAAAAATCAATGTCAAGCTTTCTACATAACCTGATATATATTTAAAAATAATCTCAAATTATGAAGAAAAGTCAGTTTACTAACTAATAATGTTTATAGATGGTTTTCAACGTATTAAAAACAAAACAAATATTACACCAACTAAAATATTCATTAATAGTTAGTTGTAGTGCTTGAAAACAATATGATGTTGATAATAATAACTACACTTAATACAAACTCAAATAATAAAAAAACAGCGAAATTGACTCTTGTACAAAGTTTTGATCCGAACTTACAAATGATAAAATTATTGGAAAAAGTGAACACCCATTTTAAATTACCACAAGCCAACACTGAGTACAACAGATGTCTGATTTAGAATCAAAAGAGAATTAGACTCGTGTCTCTAATATTATCTTTATTCTTGTGTATTTTTGTAATAATGGCTCATTTTATTATCATTATTTATAAACACATAAAAAGGAAAATTATTTAGAATAAAATTCACATCGTAGTAGTTAGTAATTTACCCTAATACATTTAAAAAAAATAAAAGGAGGAAATAAAATTATAAATTTTTAACTAGAAATGCGTCCGCCCCTGCCTCTAACGTCACACCTTCGAGCAGCGTCGAGCACGTGGCTGTACCATTCTCATCTTGGGACCGCTTTACAACTGATTCTAGTTATTCTAAATAAAAATATGAGGATTTTGAAGTTGTTAGAATGTAAATGTTTATATCCAGATTTAGAACTGATGGTTTTAAACAGGTAAGCATAGCAGTATTGGTAGAAAAATCTTTGTAACAAAATGTTATGAACAAAAAAATTTGACCGCTGTCAGATATTTTACTGGTAATTATTAGTGCAGTTGACCACTGCTTTCACCGATCCCTATCTTTATGTTATCTGTAATACATTAATATTAAAAAATATATACAGGATGTTTGTTAATTGAGTGTTCCAAAAGAAATGAGTATTTTTTTTGTGAGAAAAACACTCCAAAAGGAGCGTTTATTAATATTACAATCTGATCAAGTGATCAATGAGTAATTTTGTTATAACCTAACTTAACTAGGGTTACAATCTTAAAAACTAAAGTTCTACTCGCTAGTATACCTTAGGGTCTGATAACTTAATTACACTAAACTAACGTGTAACACTAAACCGCACAATGCTTTGCTTTGTTATT